ATGATGATGATGATGATAACGGTCATGAAGTATCATCGTAGCACCCGCCGCATCTCCAACTATCTTCGTAGCATCGCTTGATGATGATGATGACCAGGAGGAAGATGAGGAAAAGTATCAGTGCATCTCCAACGCGGACGATGACAAGTATCTCCAACAGTGGATGATGACGATGATGGTGATGACAACGGTGATGATGACGAGGATGACTATGAGGAAGATCATAGTGATCATTCGCATCATCACGAGTATCATCGCAACATCCTCTGCATCTCTAGCAGTGCCTGGATAACTATCATCGTAGCATCCGTTGCGTTGCAAGTGGTGTCTAACGTCCCTTTTGATTTCTAGATAAGAAGTAAAGAAAGGATGATGATGATGATACTGATGATGATGATAACGGTCATGAAGTATCATCGTAGCATCCGCTGCCTCTCCAACGATGACGATGATAAGTATCATCGTAGCATCCCTTGACGATGATGACGATGATGATGATGACCATGAGGAAGATGCTGAAAAGTGTCATCCTAGCATCCGCTGCATCTCCAACGAGGACGATGATGAGTATCATCGCAGCATCTGCATCTCCAACAGTGGATGATGATGATGACAACGGTGATGATGAATGAGGAAGATGATGGCGATCATCCGCATCATCACAACTATCATCGCGACATCCTCTGCGTCTCCAGCGGCGCCTTGACCACTATCATCGTAGCATCCCTGGAATCGCCAATGGAGCCGAGCGCCACGCCTTGGCGTGATGATGATGATGATGACGATGATGAGGAGGATGACGACGATGATGATGATGATGACACCCTTCCCATGCGCCTCGCCCTTGCAACAAGGGGTCGGCGGATTTTACATTGTTCTAAGTGTGAAAATTGTTCAAATCCAGTTCATTCTTTGTTTTTTTGCCACATGGGTTGTTGTTGGCTTTTGGTCTCTCCAACGAAAAGCCGAGCGATTTTGTTTTTGGCCAGGATGTCGAGGCTTACCTTGAGTCCCTGGCTAAGCTGCAACATTTCGACCGCACGGAGAAGGACAAGGCCATGCGCGGCTCCGCGAGACGAGGACGTGGCCGGTTTTCGGCATATTCTCTTTGAGGGGAGCCCAAAGAGGCTTGTTTTCCTGTTTGGTTTCCCAACGCCCCCCCCTCCCCCGGCCCCAAAGGGGTCACTGTAGAGAGAGAGATTTGTGGCAAGAGGGGGTGCTTGGCCAAGATTACAAATGTTATCGCGTGAGGAGAGAGAGATAGAGTGAGAGGGACAGAGATTTCCTGCAGAGCGACGGTACTCTCCATGACAGAAGGATGTTCTTGCGCGGCGAAGCGCGCGGGATACAAAACATGCAAACTGATATGTCTCGACCTACCAAAACCCTTCACTTTAATTTACTGTGTGCTACTAACGTGCTCACAAGCTGCGATTTTCCAGATGCTGGCCGTCAGCCTGGTGCCAGTTGAATGTATCCCACCAAAGCCTTCCCAAGGCTTTTGAAGACTGCATAGTCACCCTGCAGGGCAACCCCAAAAGTTCCCAAAGGCTACAAGTGCAATTTCCAAACTTACCTACGGCTCCCACACCCTCACAGCCCCCGGCCCCCTCCAAAATCTGCGCTTAAAACCTGCCTGGGCAAGATGTGAAGCTCCAAAGGAGGGCTTGAACTGAGTTCATGGAAGTTGACCTGTTCTGATAGCTGGCCGCAGTTGAATCTTCCAAGGTAGTTAACCCCCAGCGCTGCAACAAAGGTGCGCAAGTGCTTCCATTCCAGGTGTCAGGTGTGGTGTGAGAGTCTACTTTTTTTCTGGCTGGTTCATTTTCAGGTGCAGAAGTGGTCTGCTTTTATGTGCGTGCGTGATGCTTGCGGTGCACAAGTGATCTCAGGTGTGGATTGATTAGTTTTGAGGTAGGAGTGATTGAAGCAATTTTGCCCCACAAGAAACCAAACCGGGGGCATTGGGCCACCCCATCTACCAAAACATTTGAAGCGTGTTTCGTCAAGCTTGGCAGATGCAGTTGCACGGGATAGCGTCATGGGCCGGGGCTTGGGAGTTGCCCACGTGCATTTTGCCGAGCCGACGCAGGATGCAGCAAGTCGGAAGTTTTCAATTGCTGGGACAATCCTAGCTGCTGCGATAGCAGCGCGACGTGCTACGTCAAGCACCACGGCCTCGCCACGTGCAAGCAGCAGTGCACTCCAGGCAGGGTATGGTGCCCGGGAAAAGACGGACTACAAACTGCCCCAAAAACATGTTTAGTATACATGTGTATGTCCGGCACACATAGAGACAGAGCAGGCGGGCAGACAGACAGGCAGGCAGGCAGACAGGCAAACAGACAGACAGATGCATATACAAAAACATACAAATACATAAACACGCATAACCATACATAATCATACATAAACTTACATGTGCATACTTATGCTAAGACCCCTCCCAATACCAAGATCTTGCTCTATTCGACTTGTGGGGCAGATGATGGATGCTTTGCAGGGCAGACGCAGAGGTGACTTCCAGCAACCAATTGGACAGATTATGCACTTATTGCTGTGTTTGTCTTTGGTGAATTTTACCACGGCGGCATGTATGTGTTGTAACATATACACGTGGTGGCCACGTTTGGCTAAAGTCACAAGTTCTCAAACCCAGCTTAGGAGTAATCCACAGCGAGGTGTACAGGATCGTGGAGTGATTCGAGAGAGCAGAAAAATAATACATCGGGACTCTGGCACCAGCGCTGCAGGACAGCACAATTATTCCTGTTGGGGACATTGCTGTTTCCCTCGATTCTCACTTTTCAACAAGGCAATGTGCAACCAAAGTCTCAAACGCGAAAATCCAAACAAATTGGGAAGCAGGGAGCGAGGGGGGTAGTGTGCTTATCCTTCTCACTTTAAAATAGGAGGTTTTGCAAAGTTGGTGTGTGGAAAGGTAAGTGGGGGTGGATATGGCCACCCCACCCCCAGGGCCTACCTCCCACCAGTCTATTTGGGAAGTGTCATACAGTGTTGGTGATGATTTGGTACTTGTTTGTAGCGGGTGTTTCGTCTTAGGATTGAAAGGCAAGAAGTCCAAACTAGATTGCTCGGCTTCAAGCATGGTTTTGTTTTGACACCTTGGGTGTTTACCCTGGTTTTGAGTACACGTAGCAGAAACCTTGGAGGGCCTGTTTGTTGCTTAGGCCCCGCGAAATGCCAAGAAGAGGCCATGCGGATCGTACCAATCTAAATGTACGCTTTCAAGTCAGTATCGTCTCTTGTAAAAGGCTTTCCATCTAACATTAATGATCATCCAACCCTTGCATCAAAAGTGTATCCTAATTGAAAATCTCAAGTTATACCAGGAATAAAAAGACCCACCCACTTGAGCATTGGTTTGCACCCTGCCTTGGTGTGAACTAACCTTTCTGAATGCCAAAGTGGGCCATCCGCTTCACATTTTACTGGGGATTGAATGTGGGCCAACGCCTCTTTTCACCCGCTCTGAAACCTGGACAGGCCCAAAAACACAGAACCTCCAGAAGATGAAAGCTCTGAAACCTGCACAGGCCCAAACAGAGCAAAACAGACAGAAACTCCAGACCCAACAAGGTCCATAGCGAATCACCAAGAATAGTTATTAGCAATGCCAAAAATCGTCTCCAAAGGAATGCGAATTCAAAACAGACATTCTGATTGAAATATGTCCGTATGTTTGCAAACATGCTAGATTCAAGCTCTAGTTCAACATCTAAATTCTGGTTGAACTGGTCTCGTTACAAAGCAAACACCACTGTTGTCTAAGGCGCATTGACCTAAATAGATTCGGGAACGAACTCATTATGTTTAGAGGCCAATTTAATTACTTGATTGGGAAACTGAATGTATAAATTCTGGTGAACTCTGTCCTTACTAAGTTTTTTCAACATATCAGCTCAGTTTGGGAGTTCACATTTGACATTTTGGAGGTTCAGATCTCCAGATTCTAGATCTCCAAAATGGAAACTTCAAGGGATCAGAGGTCTCAAAAAGAGCTGTAAAACGCAGTGTGATTTGCATTTGTTCAGATCGCGTTCACCTGGATTGAATATTTTAACATCCCCAGCAAAAATATCCATTTGCAACGCAGCAAGACAACACAGGGTTGATAAACCCAAAACTGGATGGATACACTTTAATGGGTGGAGCGTTCAACTTGCTGCTTGCTACCCCGGCCCCCCTCCCCCCAAGGGTTGCCACCCCCCCTCTAACACATGACAGACATGATAGACATGACAGACATAGCAGACATGGCAGACATGACAGACATGACAGACATGACATGAATGCCATGAATGACACACACACACACACGTTAAATGCACGACGTATCATAACATATCAAATCATATCATATACTATCATAGCGTACCATAGCATAGCACTACATGCATGCACACACACACACACACACATACATAGCATACATAGCCCACACAACATGTATAAAATATGTTTGACAAACAACATGCACAGCTTGCATAACCCACATAACATACATCACACACACACATTGCACTCAACCACACACACACAACATACGTACACTAACACAGCGCACCATGACACAACAACACATACATACCTACCTACCTGCCTACCTACCTACCTAGCCTGCCTCCCTACCTGCCTGCCTGCCTACCTACCTACCTACCTACCTACCTACCTACCTACCTACCTACCTACCTACCTACCTACCTACCTACCTACCTACATACCTACACACCTACACACCTACACGTTTACACTCATACACGCATCACACACATACATTACAAACGTACGTACGTACGTACGTACGTACGTAGCATGTACATACAGACTGACAGAGAGACATACAGACACAGACAGAGGCAGAGGCAGAGACAGAGCCGGAGACAGAGACAGCAACAGAGACAGAGACAGAGATAGAGACAGTGACAGGCAGACAGACATACATATGGGTACATGTCTACCGTGCATGTACAGAGCAGCTGGGGAAAGTTTCAAAGCGAGCCAAGGTTACGCATATTCTCAAGCCACGGACTCTTGTACCTTTGAGTCATGTCGCGACATTGGATTTAAGCACCTGTGCCAATCTGAAGCAGCGGGCTGTTTTTCACCAAGCGCCTGAGGCGTTGATGGCAATGATCCGAAAGACTGGCAGACGCCTTGGTCCTGCCAAGAGCTGAACAGCTTCAAGAAGTCGTTGAAGGCAATGCAGCCAGTGCAAGCAGTGCAACCATTGGACGCACCCATGAATGTGTCTTTGCGGGCCGACACCAAGCTGTGGTGTTCCACATCTTGGAGAGGTGATTGCCGGTACAAACCCAATTGCTGTGACTCATCCTTCACCTGCTTTGAGAGGGATTCCGTCTATGCCACTTGCCTTCCCAGCTGCCAACCTGGCATTCACTGGGAGGATCCACCACAATATCGCTACCCCTGGTCATGCAACGCCATCCGCGGGCCAAGCCCACCACCCCCACCCCCACCCGCACCGCCTGCATCCTGCTCGGCCTCCTGGACAGCGAACTGCCACAGCAACCCCATTTGCTGCGAGTCCGGGTTCACGTGCTACGAAAAGAGCAACAACTACGGGGCCTGTTTGAATTACTGCTCTCCCGGCATCCATTACGAGGAGCCAGCGGAATTCCGCACGCCCTGGAGCTGTCGTGTTCTGACGCCGGGTGCTTGGCCTTCTCCTTCGCCCTCGCCGCCGCCTCCGTCACCACCACCGCCGGCATCCTGCTCGGCCTCCTGGAGTCAAAATTGCATGGGCAACCCCACCTGCTGTGATGGCTCCTTCAAATGCTACGAGAAGAACAATGGCTATGGCGCCTGCTTGGATACCTGCACACCAGGCATCCACTGGTCAGAGCCAGCACAGTATCGCAGCCCTTGGAGTTGCCGCGTTGTGGGAGGCCCATCCCCGCCACCTCCCACTCCGCCACCTCCCACCCCGCCCCCTCCGCCAACGCCAAGCCCAGCCCCACCAGCTCAATGCTCCCCATCCTACTCCGGCAATTGCTTGGCTGCATCAACATGCTGTGACTCAAACAGCCGCTGCTTCATGAAGAACAACGACTACGGCCAGTGCATGTCCTCGTGCACCCCGGGCGTTCATTGGAACGACCCTCCAGAGTTTCGCACCCCTTGGTCCTGCACTGTGGTGGGTGGTCCAGCGCCGACCCCAACCCCCACCCCAACCCCCACCCCAACCCCCACTCCAACCCCCACCCCAACCCCGCCGACGCCAGTACCCACCCCAGCCACGCCAGCTCCCTCACCACTACCAACGCCAACTCCAGGCCTGAGGATTTGGGTATTTGCATTTGGGGACGGGAGGGACACATGGGTCAAGATTAAATCATCAGGGGGACCGCAGGTTTGTGTCCTTGTTTTCCATTTGCCTGGGCACCCATTTTAGTCATATACTGAACTACTTGGCCCGCAGCTTTTAATGGTGTTTTCCACTCGCATTGCGAGTTGAAGTCCTTGGCTTAGCAGGAGACGACGTGGACATCCCCTTCTTGCACGACTCCTTGTACTCGCCCAGCAGCGCAGAGCTGATGACCTTTCATATGCAACTCTGGCGCAAAGCATCCCCTATGGTTTCCTTTTCAGGGAGTCCTCGGCGGGAAATGACAAACCATCCCTGCCTTCCTTTCTTCCGGGAATGCCCGGGTTCGGTCCATTTCTCATTCCCTGAGCACCAGGTTGGTCTCCTTCGTCCCCTGAAACCCCCCCGGAAGAAAATGCCCTGGGCTTCGAGGTACCGAGCCCAGGGGCATGGCGACTATCCCCCGCTGAATGTCAACACGGGCAACCTTGCTGGCATCATGCGGGGACCTCAAGGTGAGTCACATACCTTTTCCGGACCCTCCCTACTTTGGGCAATCTGACGCTTGCAGTTGTAGTGTGCAAGGATTCGAGTTGGTTTATGTTGTAAGCGCCCAGCTTCTCTTGACTCGCTGTGAACAATCGTCTCCAAGTGCCCCCAGTATGTGTATCTCGTGATGAGTGCAACGCATGCTTTTGCATCACAAGGTGGTATATCCAAAATGAAGTGGTGTCCGGAGCATACGGCAATGGCAACAAGTTCGGCATCGAGCGCATTAGGCGCTTCAAAGCGTCTTGGCAGCGTCTTTTGAGGAGCAAGACTCGCAGGCATGTCACTTTTTGTTTGAGGCTATATATCTCTTTGTGGCGGTCGTTTCAAAAGGCAAAGGGAGACCAAGAGTTTCGGGCTTTTCCGATTCCTTCAATAAATACACACATCTACATGACTACAGTGCAGGTTCTAAGCCTAAGGTTCAGACAAAGGCAACCCAGACCTTGGTGGAAGTCAACATGAACTTTGGAGTCCGCGTCGCCTTCGACTACGGAAACTGCACTGGTCCAACCTGCCGCTTCGATTGGGAGCCACTTGGATTCCAGACGGATTGCTGGTAGGCTGCTGGAGAATGTCCATGGCAAGCACAGGAAGCGCCAGCACAGGTACACAAAATACAATGTGTTTCACTAATGTGACAGCTGAGACTTGGATGTTCCATGAGCAGTTGTGGTTGCCTTGCCTGTCGTGACGGCCCAAGGGAATATGGGTACAATGTGGGCTGCAACAACCTTGGCGCCTTGGTGCCCAGCTTTTCTGGTCGGATTTCGGAGGGCTTGTGGTGGGCTTAGGGTTGGTTTCGGGTAACCGACCGACCCACCGGGGCTTCCACGACCCTGCCCGGCAAACCTGGGAGAAAGAGAAAACTCGGGGCCCGACATACTCTATCCGGACAAGAAACCAAAATTACATACTGTTTTGTTCTGCCACACAAGGGACTCTGCCCTTTGTTGAACACTAATATTCTATCTGTTTGGCCCTAACTTTACGCGACAAAAACAAACGCAAGCATTCGACCAGAGGAGCCGATCAAAGTGACCAATCAGAGCATTTCCTGGCAATGCAAAGCAAGGCCACAGCCGAGCGCATTCCGACACCCACAAGGGACGCATGATGTATCATGACGTTTGTTCGTAAGGCGTGCATAAACTCCAACACCTTGCCCGGGTCTTTGAGACATAGCTATGCCATGACGCGGACCCTTGCAGTCAAAACCAAACAGGTTTTGGGAGCGGCATCTTGATGGACCCAGCTCCTTGTCCTTTTGGAGGTGGCCGCAGGACGCCGACGGGACCCTCTCAAATGGATTCGCGGCTTTGTTTTTGTTGGGGTGAATTTGCAGAACGAGATGTTCAGAAGGAACGCGCCCCGCGGAACCGCACATGCGCCTCATGGATCGGCCGAGCCAAGCTGAGCTTCAAGCGACAGGATCCCCGAGAGTTGCGAAATGGACATCTTTGTGATAGACTTGTGACTGGCGTGACACTGGAACATATGAGTTCTGAACCTTTGATCTTTGTTGTCTCCTGCCGGGGGGGGGGGGGATCCAGGTTCTAAGCTGATTCCTCATGTCTCTAATCAGCTGGACTGGCCACGTCAGGAGCCAGTGATGTGCTATCATTCATTTGCAGCATGGAAGCCCGAAGCCCTTTCCGAGGAATGTTCCCTTTCCCAAAGTTCGAGACGAACTACTCGGGCGGAGTTTGGCGCCGTGGCAGGAAATCGAAGCCGAAGTCGAGCTTGAGTCAGGCGCCGGCTGTGCCATGAATCCATGAATCCATACAGGTACAGTCTTCCTGGCGCTTGCCCCTCGATGCCATACTACAGCCAGACGCCGGAATGCAACTTGCACTCAGACTTGCCTTCCGGAAGCAGGGACGGCCTTCCCGAAGAGTCCCCCTGGCCTTACTTTTGGTCCTTGTTCATCCCAGTTTTGCTTCAAGGAGGGTTGTAAGGTGTGTGAATATTGCCGGCCGGCGTTTTTTCTAGGCGGATGTAAGGTGAAGAATTGCAGCCCGGCGGGCTATGCGATATGGCCACTGGAGCCGGCGATTGTGCCTCAGCTTGCATTTGCGAATGATCAAACTCATGAAGCTCTCAAATTCGTTTCCGTCGCATTCTTCAGCTCATAGGACGGTCAATTTGATCGAAGGGAAGCTTGCGTGCGAACACTCGGGACGAGCGCGATGTTTTTTGAATCACAATTTGTCGCTACATCCCTCCCGGCAATCTGCCAGTGACGGTGTGACAAATTCATCGCAGATGCCGCAGACAGGTTTTGGTAATGGCCTGAGTTGTCGCCCATTGTTGCTTCTTTTGGCAACCGTGGAACCTATAAGAGAGCCACATACACATCCCAGACTATTAGGCTGACACTATCAAAGCGGCTGGACATGCAGGAATGGCCATTTCCATCGTCCTGAGTGGTTTTTTGGGCGGCGACTCGCGATCAATTTTGGTTTTGGATTCCCTTTCAAGTAAAAGCGGGTTTAAAAGCGGGTTTCTCCAAAAAGGAAGTCTGACGGGATACCACTCCCATTGCCAAGTCACCTAAACCTTTCGCCTTATTTGGAGCAGCTCGATGGGCTGGGCATCCGTGCAATTCGTTTGGTTGAAGATGATGCATAGGACCCGTGCCAATTTGTGCACGCCTTGCGCCAAAGTCGGTTTTTATTGTCGCTTTCAGGTGCCGCATGCACTTGGAGGGTTCCAGCCAAGGTACTTGGAGCTATGAGGACGTAGGCCGGTAGCTTTGGCTTGGCTCAGGTTAGGCCATTCGATTTGCCGGGATTTGTGACCCAAAAGGCCTATCTAAGTTGGAAGTCCGCCATTTCTCCGATGGGAAGCTCTGACTTGAGGCGATCAGATCTGGCTTGGAGACCTGTACAGCGCCGCCAAGATGAGCATGCAGCAGTTTTGGGACCACAGCTCGGAGCTTGGAAACTGTGCAACATGCGGCAAAGCAGCTGTTGCTCAGGTGACAACGTAACCTACAACGACTTCAAAGTGAAGGTTGCCCGAGACCTCTTTGAAGAGAAGTATGGGGTGGCTTGCCTTTGTTAGCACACACACACACACATACACGCACCCAGCAAATGGCATCACCTCGAAAAGCCAGCCACACTGCTTGAGTAGTCATATTTTCTGGGCCTGCGGCCTCTAGCCGGCTACGCCTCTTTGAAGTTATGCCATGTCATGTCATGTTTTTTGCATGAGAAACGTAGCGTGTGCTATGATATGGCTGGTTAGGTTATGCATGTTCCCCACCTTAACCCCAGATAATGCCGGGGATGCCGGCTTTCTGGGCCCCATCCGGGCCCCAATCCAGAAGGCTGACATGGGGTCGCGTGCGCGCGCGCCAGAGGACCCAAAAAAAGCAGCCCAAAAAGAGCAGCCCGCAAGCCAGTCCGGAAAAGCAAATGCAACAAAACACTGTAAATAGCAGCGTTTTGTGGCTGGGGTCGCGCGCGCGCACGCGCGCGCGTGCCAGAAGGCCCGAAAACCAACGCGAAAAAAGAGCGAGGACCCAGCATCGCCGGCATGCCCGGCAGCGCTTGGCGCCAACATGCGCAAAAATGAGCCTTGCTTATACCTTAAAAACAGTGCTTTTTGGGTGGAGAGGCTTTTTGGAAGGAAGTCTTGATGATGCAGACCAAGCCCCGCTGAAGCATCACCCCCAGACCCTGACGATGTCAGCCACATGGCCTAAACCCTGCATATACGCGATGTTTCGCGAGGGTTTCCACAGTCAAGCAAAACCGCAAGCCCGAGCTGGTGACGCAGAGGTGCCGGATTTAGGCCGCGCATCACGACCAAGTGGCGAGGGTCGGCGGCACCAGGGTGCAGCCCCTATAGCTAAAGCTAGCAGGCTACCCCAAGGAGGCGTAGCCGGATTTACGTTGCTGACGCACCACCGGCCGCACCGGCAGCCTCAGTTTACTGCAATCTGTTCGACGCACGGGGCAACTTGCGTGAGGCACGTTTGCGGAAGGAAGCAGGCCCAGAGGCGTGTGGCAAAAAACATCTACTAAGATGGCAGGTAGTGCGCAGTAGTAACGCGCAGGCTGCGCAGACTTGAGCTCTCAAACCGCGGCACCGCCCGGTGACATCTAGCGATTGCACGGTGGCATGTGTATGTGTGTGTGTGTGCGCGTGTGCGTGCATCTGGACTGCCTCTGGCACTTGGTCGCATGCCAGTTGTAAGTACCTTTCCCATTGCAACGTCGCAACGCACACTGACATCAACTCAACACACACGCACACACACTCACTCACTCACTCACTCACTCACTCACTCGCTCACTCACTCACTCACTCACTCACACACACACACACTCACTCTCACTCACTCACTCACTCACTCACTCACCTCACCTCACCTCACTTCACCTCACCTCACCTCACCTCACCTCACCTCACCTCACCTCACCTCACCTCACCTCACCTCACCTCACCTCACCTCACCTCACCTCACCTCACCTCACCTCACCTCACCTCACCTCACCTCACCACCTCACCTCACCTCACCACCTCACCTCCCTCATCCTCGCCTCGCCTCGCCTCGGCCTCGCCTCGCCTCACCTCACTCACCTCACCTCACCTCACCTCACCTCACCTCACCTCACCTCACCTCGCCTCGCCTCGCCTCGCCTCGCCTCACCTCACCTCACCTCACCTACTCACCTCACCTCACCTCACCTCACCTCACCTCACCTCACCTCACCTCACCTCACCTCACCTCACCCACCCCACCCCACCCCACCCCACCCCACCCCACCCCACCCCACCCCACCACACCCCACCCCACCCCACCCCACCCCACCCCACCCCACCCCACCTCACCTCACCTCACCTCACCTCACTCACCTCACCTCACCTCACCTCACCTCACCTCACCTCACCTCACCTCACCTCACCTCACCTCACCTCACCTCACCTCACCTCACTCACCTCACTCACCTCACTCACTCAACCTCACTCACACTCACTCACTCACTCACTCACTCACTCACTCACTCACTCACTCACTCACTCACTCACTCACTCACTCACTCACTCACTCACTCACTCACTCACTCACTCACTCACTCACTCACTCACCTCACCTCACCTCACCTCACCTCACCTCACCTCACCTCACCTCACCTCACCTCACCTCACCTCACCTCACCTCACCTCACCTCACTCACTCACTCACTCACTCACTCACTCACTCACTCACTCACTCTTATTTCGAGACACTTCGCTGTAGGCAATGCAATCTCCAAAGCCGGGTTTGGCGGGGGCCAGTGAAGCCTCACCAATAAGCAGGTTTCCGCAGAAACTTATGTTTTTCACGCTTTCCGAGGCCTTGCGCCCACGCGAAAGTGTCAAAAACACAGTGTTTTGCTCATGTTTTGAGCGAAAACCATGCCCAAAACCGAGCTTAGATGGGGATCAGTATAGCCTCACTGTTAAGCAGGTTTCCACATTTTGCGCCATTCCAGCCGTCAAAAACGTAGAAAAGCGCAGTGGTTTCCAGTGTTTGCGCAAAACGGGCCCAAGTTGGGGCCCATGCTCGGGGGGGGTGCCCCCAAGAGCCGAATTGTGTTTCTTGAACAGGGGGGCACCCCTCTGAGGAGGGGTAAGGGGAGGGGTAATTCTTCTCTGTGGGTGGGAGGGATCTACACACAGCCTCTTCGCCCGATTTAAGTATGCCTGACAGCCGGACGCCCCGAAAAGCATCAGTTTTCCAAGTGTCATTGTCATGATTTTCGCAACCGCGCGGCCTGGAACCCATACAAAACCAGCAAAAAACGCTGCCAGAAATCGGGTTCGGCCGGGGAGAGGTGAGCCCTGCCGGCTAAGCAGGTTTCCACATTTTCCACGTTTGCGCCCGGCCTTGAATCCATACAAAACTATCGAAAACAAAGTGTTTTTTCTGCGGTTCACCGAAAAGCCTACCAAAAATCGAGTTCGGCCGGGACTGCCTGCTGAGCAGGTTTCCATATTTTCCACGTCGCCCGCCAAAAACCTTCAAAAACACTGTGTTTTTGCACGTTCTCGGCAAAATTGGCCCGACTCAGGTGACAACATCCCCAGCATCCCCCGCATCACCGGCCTTATCCGCATCAATGTCCGCCATGGATGCGGACGATGCAGGTGATATGCTCAACAAGTCGTCAAAAATCGCCTGAACAAATTCACAAATCCTTCGCCCCTTAGCAGTGAATGCAGCCTCCGTTCGACACGGAGTGAACGTGGAGTGAACCTAGAGTGGGGCTAGAGTGAACCTAGAGTGAACCTAGAGTGAACCTAGAGTGGGTCGGCGGCAGGGGGCGCGAGCCTTATAACCTTCGGTCAGAGGGAAGCGAAGGCCTCCACAAGCTTGGGGCGCCCGGATTTAAGGGCTGCCGCCCTGTGGCATTTGGCGTCAACCGCCCTGGAGGTCTCATGATTGTGCGCGCCGGAGCCCCAACACCTGAGGAAGCCCTGACTTCTAGAGCCCGTTCTAGATCACCTGGACGCCTTGGCTATTTTGGCTCTTGAACTGCCTTCGTGCTGACCTGCCCGTTCTTCCCGGAAAACATGTGCGTTCGCCCCTACGGGGGCGTGTGTGTGTGCCGAGTTCCAGATTTACCCTGGAACCATTTCACAAGTTGTAGCCGCGGGATGCCGGGGACCTGTGCGGTCGGCGTCCAACGAAGACGCAGTCCTGTGATATCGAGGCTGATCACCTCGACGTACCTGGTTTCAATTTGAGCCACAACTTCTCGTGATGTTGGACTTTGTTGCTTTTGCATGACCATTGGCTCTGGTTATGTGGCGTTTCCACTTTTGCTTCAGAACACACGTAAGCCTGTCTCGAATCTGCCCCCTCTCCTTCTTGCTTGATTTGCTCGAACTTCGTGTCTACCCCTAGTGGGATTTAAGTGTGTGTGTGTGTGCCGAGAAACACAAAAAATGAGGGGGAGCCATTGTGGTTGGAGCTCTTTCTGTCTTAGGCAGAGCTGCCCAACCCCCCGTGCGACTTCGACTTCGGGCGCTTCTATGGAATCTGAGGGCCCAAAGCGGCAGGTGTCAGAAGGCCGAAGGCCTGCCAAGTGATGCAGGTTTTCCACAGAATTGGGCTTGTTGGAACTGCGAAACAACTCATTTGCAATTTTGTCCTTTGAGAAAAGAGAGCACACATCGAACATTTGCTGGTTTTTGCAGGTTTGTAAAGTCCAACATTTGAACAAACTGTCCTGCACCTGCAATTCGAGAGTGCTGCTGCAGGAGACGGTTGCACAGGAATTTGGTTCTTGCACGATCCTGCAATTTTTCTTGCATGATGGCGTGATGCAAATCGCATTTTTGGCTTTTGCTAAACTTTTGTCTAATATGAACCCCCTTGTTGGCAGGGTCTCACGTAGCTTGGCTCCTTCCAAAGAGAGGCGTCGCACGTCCGTGCATAGTCTGGTCACCAGGACCATCGAATGTCATTTTGCTAGTTCCAAGAAAAGAGTGCTTTGGATTCAGGAAGCATTGCCAGACACCTCTGGACAGATGTCTAAGGGTTGCGTGATTTCCCACCGAGAACGCTTCAACGAGAATGCGAGAATGGCCTCACCATTCTCAGCCGTTTGAACTTCAGGTCAAAGAGCAAATGTGTGTGTGCTTCCTGTTCGTACGGCCATGTTGTTGGAATCTTAGAGGATGGCTTTGCAGAGGCAGAGTCCCAACAAGTCTTTACCAAGAGCCTCAAGCGAGGGTGGTTTACATTCAGAGTGGTCGCTGCCTGAGGCATTGGGTTCTTGGTCTGGAGATTTACACTGACCTGACCGCAGCGCAGAGCCGAGTGCGCAGCCATGTCTTTGTGTTTGGTCGGAATCCCTTTTTGGTGGTCCTTGAAGGGTACCAAGCCTAATTTTGAGTTGTGCTTGTAGATCACGTGCCGTAGGTGGATTCGTTGCCCAGCCAATTTGCTAGGTCCTTTGCCCATCCTGAAAGGCAAGCTGAGCGATTAGTCTCTCAGTGCGCCTTGCAATACTCAGGACATGCAGCCTTCAATCGGGCCTTCCATGAGCAGGTTGGAGTTGCACAGCCTGGAATGCAAGCTTCTATGAAGCTACCCCACGCCGATGTAAAGCAGCACTGGATTCAAGTCAACAGTGCTGGCATGCAGACGCCATTCAGTTTCAGCAGCACTAGCTATGAGTTGGCAGTGTTTGCTTGTGGGGCTTTGTCCAACGCAGTCGTCACACTCGAGTCAACCCACCCATAAAGGGCAGTTGAGATGAGATGTTTTACCCACATGACACGGGTGTCCCGGATGATGTGGGTTTGTCTTTTCGGAGGCTACCCTTTCTTGGGATGGCAAAGGGAAACCCAAAGTGTTGGAAGCAAGCCAAAAGGACAGCCCTGCGCAATTTCGAGGGTTTGGGCATGGGTCAACATTTTGTGCCATCAGGCATTGGACCTTTCCTTCCTTTTTGGTTCTTCTTCGTCTGTTTTCTCCAAGTTCCATTTGCCCCTGGGGCAACCCATTTTGGGGGGTCACCACCGCCATTTTCGAGCACCCAATCGCTCGAAGGCCACTCGCTTGCTGGACGGCCGCGCTCGACGCCCGTCGCGCCCGTCGCGTCGGCAGGCACCGGAGGACTGCCCTCAGCTTCCGGGACTCCGCGCTGCCGCCGATCTTCACCATCGCCATCCAGACGCAGCTGGGCAGCGATGCGCGTCTTTGGTGGTTGAAGGTGAGCGAGGCTGTCTGTGTTATATATATATATATAGGTGTATGTATATGAACAATCTGTTTGTTGATGTCCAAGATTAGTCTTGGATCTGGATGTCAGTTCCAGCAGGCCGTTGTCTGATTCCATCATGATTTATTAGTCGGGGACAGAAAAGAAAGGACATGGGAGGATGAGTGTGATTTCCATACCTGGATGAGCAAGTGAGAATGAAAGGAGTGGCTCTTTCTGACAAATGGCTATGGATTTTAATTACGGGAACCGCCTAGAAGTGGGTGGACATGAATCGGGACGAGTGTTGAGAAACGGTCATCTGAGCCCAAAGGTCCGAGGAAGCTTTGTTGCTGCCGCTTCTTGTGGGAGTCTGGTTGGCCTTGTGGGATCTCGTATCTTGGGGGCTTGCGACTTCGGTCGCAGGCATGAGTTGGCTGCCAAGGCTGCAGCAGTTGAGCTCCGGCTCCATCAACGTGGCGGATAAGAGTGACGAGCGGCGGCTGACAAAGCAGGCAGACTCGGCTTCGAAGCTTTGAAGTGAATGTGTTGCAAGCACCCAGTGCTTGCGCATGCCTTGAAAGCAAAGCCAACCAATGACACCCTGCTCAAGCCTCCAACTTGTGCATCTTAGAGAGGTGCTTCCAGTCTCACTTGTCGTCTCATGCTTGCTCGACTCTGTCTGTCTTGACGGTTTAAGAGTCCTTTGCGATTCACTTCTTTGGGGGTTGGCAGCTTGCCAATTTGGTGTGGTGTGGAGGTCAACAAAAAAACGAAGGCGAGGTGCTGAACAATTGCACGCCAACTCATTCAGGAACATTTACCAGTTCGTTCAGAAGTTCAGCACTTGTTGCACAACCATCAACCATGGATACGCACTTTGGCGAAGTATTTAATGGCCAGCTGCGCCGTCCAAGGTGTTACCAAGCTCAGCCTGAGACACTTGCGGATCTGTGCCTGGAGTTTCGTCATGCGTTGAAGTTGCCTGGGACGTTGATATGCAATGGCAATTTCTTGACGCGACTGAGCGCAAGTCTCCATCATTGTCATCCAGTTTAACAAACATGTGGCCTTTTGACAGACTTTGCTGCTTTGCTATGTTGCATTTTAGCCCCATGTTACATATCGAGTTTTTTTTGTCATTCAGACCTCTTCAACTAAGGGCCAACTACCACCTTTGTGCGGAAGCAAACACACACACACACACACACAAGCACAACCCTGCACGGTCATCTCCGGCGCAGGTGCTGAACCTCTCCTGCAATTGCCTGTCCTTCGACTTCATGGGCACCATCCCCGATGATACGTCTGACGAGCAGGGCACGGCTGGTACCTCAATTTCGCGGCTGAGACTTGCGCCTGCTTGGCCTCTCGCGGGCATTTGGGTGTGGGGCACCAGGGGACCGCAGGTATTGGTCATGTGTCCACTTACCAGGGTTCCATTTGGGGTACTGATTTTTGACCCACAGTTTGAGCCAAGTAGGGGCAGCCGGTGGTTTGTACAGTCGCCCAGGTCATGGTCCCCCACAGCTCGGGGCCCAGTGTCGAACAGTGAGCATGAGACTGCCATTGAGGGGGTTTTTATGCAACAGGATCACAAGGTTAGTTTCCTGGGATTCTGCCTAGGAAGTTTGAACCCTCGTGTCAGGTTTGCGGGACAAGGCAGACGCGACGTCCCTGAAGCATAAATTTTCGGTCCCTGTTGGTGTGAATGGATGGTTCACAAGCTGGTTGACTGTTTTGGAGAAGGAAACCTACCACAAAGACGCACACATCGCAGTATCCACCCTGTTTGAGGCAGAACTGGGTTGACTGGACCAATCAGCGATGGGTAAGGCTGGAACATGCTGCGGGACGATGGCATCCCCAAGTTGTTCTTCGACATGTTCTCCAGGACTGTGGTTCGCGCGCAGGCCAAGGTGTAGCTTGTCAAATATTTGCATGAATCTTGCTGTATTGAGGCCACCAAAGGGAATCCTATGTTTTGCAGACCTCCCATTCCGAGACAACGCCAAATATGAGACTTCAGCCTTCCATGGTAGATGTCCACGACCAGCGCCCTGGGGTTCTGCAGCGTGGTCTATCAGACCAGCCAAAGTTATGCGCTGCAGACACAGTCCTAGAAGGTACAGCGCAGCGATTTTGTTTTGGCAAGGGGCATCACAATAGAATGACAATCCCCTCATTTCCCGTCATTCCGAGTCATTCATGCCGGGCAGATCTATTTGACATTCTAAAAATAACAGCAGCCGGCTAGACAGCCCGTCAGACAGCCAACCAGTCAACAAACCAACAAGCCAACAGCCAGGGCGCAGCAACTTTGCATCAAGCTTTGGAGCATCATGGCGTCTGCCTCGCTTCTCTTGCGGCAGGTGGGGCTAATGGCATGGAATTCTGTGGGTACAGTCGCGACTCAGATGCGCAGGCCCTAAGGAATTCCACGAGTTGGAAGCAAAGCCGAGATAATATCATGGCTTCTTTCACTCCGAGTATTGTTTTGGGCTTAGGCTAAACCGTGAATCCAAGTCACTTGCCGCTTCGACATGTCGTGACTCCGGATTTGGAAGCCCGCGGTTCGGATGTTTTGTCGGGTTCGGATTGCCAGCACTTCACTTCACTTCGCGAATCCGACAGCTGTCCGGCACGGATTCATTGCTTTGGCATGACGAGGGATATGTCGCACTGGTGCTTTGGTCTCCGAAGGGGCGTTTGGTTGCTTCATGAAGCCATGGCATTGCCAACACACCAGTCTGCACGTTGCTGGCGACTGGGCGCATGCAGGTGGTGGTCAGCCATGGACACACGGTGCCTTCCATCCCGCTGGGGGGTCTGCGGCGCTGGTTGCCACTGCTGCCCACGGATGAGTTGCAGAGGCTAAGCTTTCAGAGCTCTGCGTTCAAGGGTCTTTGCATCTCCCTCTGAGCCACAATCAAAACCCGGGTCAGCCAGATCCGTACTTGGATTTGGATAGCCCATTTTGGGTCTTGATTGTGACTCAGCTGGTTTGGACGTGCCCTTTTGGGCAAATCTTCCACAGCCTGTGACCTAAAGGGGAACCCGAGAGCCCGCGTTTTGCTGCGCGTTTTGCTGCGAGGGACATGGACCGCTGCACGGTGGTCTTGCCCCGGCCGGGGGATGGCTGGTATGCGCCGCCGGCCGGCGCCAACGCAGGCAGGAAGCTCGCAGGAGGTCAGACTAACAAAGGGCACAGCCATTTGGCTGTGGGTCAAACCCAATGGGATCCCATTCTGGGGTAGGTGAATTCACCACCCATTTTAGAACCTATTTTAGTGGGGATTGGGATGTTCACTGGGGGTACGGGATTTTGACCCAGAACCATTTGAAGAAAGATCCAAGCTTTTGGGAGGTGGGCCAGTTTGGCCAGACCGATTCTTAGCCAGTTCCGAGGCTCGATTTCACATATGGTCTCAATTCTTGTTTTGACCATCCGCGATTGTGGCTTGAGAGATTCATTCCCACGTACAAATTGGTGATTGTGGCTGATGTTTGCATGTTCATTGGCATAAACCCTGAGTGGCAACCGGAGCTCTTTGAGCAAGCACCATCTGAAGGCTGAAGAACTTGAGTTGGCAAGCACACGACGTGGACCTGGTTCAGACATTGACTCTTTGTAGCAGTTGTCCTCAAGCAGACAAACCATCCAGCGCAGCATCTCTGCAGGTACGGTGTGAGGACAGATCGGAAAAAAGCTACACACAGACAATTCCTCAAAGCAACAAGAAGACCCTTTACACATGATTCTCTGATTGGCACTGCCTGACAACTGGACATAAATCCCTATGCCATCCGCCCGTTGGGTCCAATTGAGACCCCACCTCAGCCCCATGCCAGTCGCGACAGCCGCCGTGCAAAGCCATGGTCCGCGCCTGGGCCGTGCTTCGACTCTGGAGATGCGCCGGCCACGCACTAGCTTGGAGCTGGCGCGGCCTGGCTGAGGAAGAATGGGTGGGTGGGTGGGTGGGTGGGTGGGTGGGTGAGTGGGTGGGTGGGATGGTGGGATGGTGGGATGGTGGGATGGTCTTTAGGATGTTGGCGTCTTGGGGATTTGGTCCTGAAGTGTTTCTGTTGGTGATAATGACCCGTGCCGAAGGCACGAAGGCTGCTGCCTGACTTCGATGGTCATTTCTCGCAGGCCTCGTTTGGTGAAGGCGCAAAAGGCGGGAGAGGCTTGTGCGGATCCTGGAAGCCGCGCAGTGAAATGACAAGCAGCGCGTAGCAAAGTCCTGCAGACGAAGCATTGTACGACCCTTCTCCTACAAGGCTTGATCCTCGGGCAACGCTTCGTGCATTTTGCTGCCCTTCCAGACACGTTTATGCTTCCGGGACTTTGGAGAGCCTGGGATAGCTTTTGCAAAGCGCAGATGCGCGTGGTGTGTACTGTGCTGCACTGCGCAAGCGGTATGAACTCTCAACAAGGGAGTCCAAGGCTTGAGATATGAATGAAAGGACACAAGAGATACGAGTTGTGAGAGCGAGGCTGGTTTCTTTCTTCCTTTCCTTTCCTTTTCTTTCCTTTCCTTTCTTTTCTTGCTTTCTGTTTCTCTCTCTCTCTCTCTCTCTTTCTTTCCTTCCTTTCTTTCTTTTCTTTCTTTTCTTTCTTTCTTTCTTTTCTTTCTTTCCTTTCTTTCTTTCCTTTCTGTCTGTCTCTCTCTCTCTCTCTCTCTCTCTCTTTCTTTCCTTTCTTTCTTTCTTTCTTTCTTTTCTTTCCTTTCTTTCTTTCCTTTCTTTCTTTCTTTCTTTCCTTCCTTTCTTTCTTCCTTTCTTTCTTTCTTTATTTCTTTCTTTCTTTCTTTCTTTCTTTCTTTCTTTCTTTCTTTCTTTCTTTCTTTCTTTCTTTCTGTCTCTCTCTCTCTCTTTCTTTCCTTCCTTCCTTTCTTTCTTTTTTTCCCCTTCTTTCCTTTCTTTCCTTTTTTCTTTCTTTCTTTCTTTTTTTTTTTCTTTCTTTCTTTCTTTCTTTCTTTCTTTCTTTCTTTCTTTCTTTCTTTCTTTCTTTCTTTCTTGCTCTCTCTCTCTCTCTTGTCCTGTTTGTGTGTTTTTCCGTCCGTCCGTCCGTCTGTCTGTCTGCCTGCCCGTCGGCAAGCGCACTTTTGTGCACGGGCACGGGAGAACCAACGACTCCAAAGAGCACCCAATGGCCCAACTATTGGGCCAGAGCAGTGGTGCAAACATGCTCAGTCAAGTGTTGCTATGACCCACTAGCTGAGAGCTGGAATAAATGAAGGGGAATATAGAGGGTCAGCTGATCAAGAGGAGAACAGCAAATAGTGTGCGTTAGAAGCTGTCTGAAACTGAAGGTTTATGGCATGCAGCATGCATGTCCTTTGCACGAGCAACCATTGGGCATGGGCCTGCCCCAAAGAGTAAAAATGGCTGAGCGCGGCAATAAACTTGGTCCTTGCCGGATGTTCCCGCCCCATGGCCACATGCCAAGCTCCGCATCCCCGGTTATTTGGTTTGGAGCTTCAAGGGGTGGGGGTCCGGTCGCTTTTCAAGGAGCAACCATGCAATTTTTTTGACCACCCAGGTGTGTTGTGGAAGGGGAAAGCGAAAGTGGGAACCAAAATGGCACATTTCGAGTTCACTTTCAGAGCGGATTGAGGCAAGTGAAAAGAGCCTTTGTGTAACCTGGGTTTGGGGTGGTCACGATCAACATTTGGAATGGCAAGAACAAATATTGGGATAGCTCGAGTTTCATCGCATGTTCTGTTGAAGCTTCTTAGGTTTCACAAAACGGGTAGGTTTTCTCTTAGGGGGTTCCCCTTACCTACATAAAAAAAAGGACAGCCCCGAATCGGAAGCCGATCGCCTGGCGCTCAGGGGCTCCTTGTCTGAGACTCCCGTCACCTGGCTGCCAGAAAAATTGGGCCGCCCTTGTTGCGGTCCCCAGGGTTTCCTCTTGGCAGGTACTGTCAGCCACCCAGGATTGGGGTTCTTTTCGAGTATTCTGATGGCATTGTTTGCCACGTAGCAGGCAATTTGATGCCGGCACAGGCAACTTGATGGCTGCTTCAGACCCCAAGACTCAGGCTTTTGTGGCTGAGCCAGCCATGTAAGTGCGTTTTTTTCTCAAAAAGGATGCCAAAACGATGGCCCGCTCTCACCGAGGCTTGGACAGTAACCAGGCAAACGATCCATGTGGGATCTAGAATTCCTTGAGGCTCCAGGGTCTTCTTGAGCGCCGAATTCAGATCTCCAGAGTCGACGTGTCGAACCCCAGTCGAGCAAGACACGGCCAAGGCTGGGGCAACACGGTGGCATCGGCCCTGGCGGAAGTCTCAGGCCGGCTGCCTTCGCGAGGGCACGCGGCAATCGATGTTCTCGCGTTGATATTTTGGTCGCCTTTTGCAAGCCTCTCCAAGTCTTGGAGATTGGCATCTCCATTTTTTTGAAGCAGGTTTTTCCAAGCTTATGTGGAGACAAGTCTTGTTTCAGGCTCTTTTGCGGCGTTTTGAACCTTTTTTTTGTTGTGGGTGAGGCGGAGGTCCGTAGCGAAGTGGAGGCCGCCAACCAGATACTGCTGGAAGGCGAGCGAAAGAGGAGCTATGCTCGGAGCCGGGGCTGGGGACGGAGTACACATGGGTTTGCCTCAGAATGGGAAGGCTTTCCCTCAAAAATGGCATGTCTTGTGCTTTTGGTGTCCTTTTAGCCAACCGACAGGCGGCACCAACCGAAAAGCAGACACAGTATGTTCGATTGGATTCTGTAGCTCAGCAGTAGCAGTAGAACCAGGAAGACGTGGGATACAACCTGTTGACAGCTTGGTGCGACCACAGCTGGTTGGCCCGGGTGCTTGCTTGCCTCTATGCCAGCCCAAACGCAAATCAGAATCAGTGCCAAGCAACGTCACCACTGCCAGCTGTGAGGAACATGGAA